GTGTGTGTGTGTGTGTGTGTGTGTGTGTGTGTGTGTGTGTGTGTATGTGTGAGAGAGAAACTCAGGAGGCGGTGACAGCCTGTATGATAGCCCAGGCTGCCTAGAGGTTTTTGAGACCCCCCAGATTAAAGATCTGTATTGCTGGGTTGGGGCTGGGGCTCAGTGGCAGAGCGCTTGCCTAGCACGTGGGAGGCAATGGGTTTGACCCTTAGCACCACATAAAAATAAATAAAATAAAGGCATTCTGTCCATCTATAACTACAAAAAGTTGTTTTTTTTTTTAAATCTGTTGCAGTCATTTGCTTTGTCTTTGAGCATCTGCTTTGGGAGAAGGGGGTTTTCTCGTTTGTCATTTCTGTACCTTCTGCAGTGGGGACCTAGTGAGGTGCTCTGGTTGCGGAGGGAAGATTACTTGCGGGAGGCTGGGAGGTCACACAGGTGGCCCCTGGCAGAACCAAGCTTGGTCTTCCCCATACACCATGACTGCAGGTGTTTCCACTGGGACACCCGGTCCTTCACAAACACCCAGGGCCAGAGCTGAGTTTCTGGAATTGCCCATCTTGTAGTTCCCTCCCCAATCTGAAGGCTGTTGCCTGGCCCTGGATAGCTGTGACATGACACCCCACCTTGGGACCCCTCCTCTGCATTGCCCTAAGCCTGACCTGCAGATCTGAGTCCCAAACAGCTCTGCTACTTCCTTGCTGGGTGGCCCTGGGTGGCTTCCTGAGCTTCTATGGGCTGGTTCCATTTCAACACTTGCAAAGAGATGACAGGAGCAGCCACACCTGTCAAAAACATGCGGGAGATGGTGTGTGTGTGTGTGTGTGTGTGTGTATGCGGTTTTCTGTTTTCCTGTTTTGTTATTTATACACTACACACACTCTCTACCAAATTCAGAAGTTATTGAAGATTGACAGTGAAAAGTCCCTTCTCTCCCAGCCACACATCGTCTTCCCCAAGGAATCCTTGCACATCCTTCTGGAGATACTCTCTGCCTACAATTCAGCTGTGGACATATGTTATTTTCTTTTGTACACAAATAGTAGCTTACTGTTTACTCTTACAGATCCACTTATTCCATCTTGGAGAGCTGTGCAGATCTACCCATGAAAAGATCCTGTTCTCTTTGTTGTTGTGTGGACCTACCATCATCTCCTCCACAGATCAGGGTCCACAGTAAGTGGACTGGCAGTCTCTTGCAGTCATTTGCTGTCACCAGGCAATGGCCTGGGTCACATGTTGCATGTGAGCAACTGATGACAAATTCCCAGCCAGAAGCTGCATGCATGCAGGACTTCCATAGGATTGCTAATTGTCTTGCTGCAATGGTTATTCCCATGGACAGGGCCACTCCCAAACAGGAGAGCCCCAGATCCCCCTTGTCCTCACCACTTCACTCTGTCAGTCTTGTGATTTTTGTGTGATTATGATTTGTCATGGTTCTTACAGGATTTTTTTTTTTTTTGGTACTTGGGATTGAACCGGGGTGCTTCACCACTGACCCACATCCCCAGACCTTTTAATTTTTCGTTTTGAGACAGGGTCTCTCTAAGTTGCTTAGGACCTCACTAAATTGCTGAGACTGGCTTTGAACTTGTAATCCTCCTTCCTCAGCCTCCTGAGCTGCAGGGATTACAGGCATGTGCCACTGCACCCACCTTGGCTGGCTTCTTGTAGGGGCTCATTACCCCAACCTTGGGCTATTTCTTTTTTTTTTTTCTAAAATAATTTTGCAGTGCCAGGGATGGAACTCAGGACCTCATGCATGCTAGGCAAGCCCTCTGTCACCGAGCTACACCCTCATCCCACCTTTGTCTGTTTTTCAGGTCTGACTGGTGGGTTGGGGGCCGCAGGATGCAGGCTGATCCCTTCTAGCCTGCAGGTGCACAGCCCAAGGCTGGCCCAGGGAAGCCCGGGTTGGAGGGATCTTCTCTCCTGGGTCGTTTTTACCCCCTTCAGGACCCCTTGCTCACTCACTGCTGGACGTAGGAAGCTGGTCCTCTCTTCCTAAAGCAACCCTGTCCATCTTCAGATTACTCTGGTTGAGGCTAGGGCCTAGACCCCCCTCCCATATGCCTCCAGAGTGACCCCAGAATGGTCCAGCTGGAACATGCCTCCCTCCCGCAGAGCCTCAGCCTCCTCTGCTCCAAGCCAGGCTCCCCTCGCTCTGCCAGACTTCTAGACCCACAATGACCAGGTCATTGTTCCCTGCCCAGCCTCCACTCTACCACCAGGCCTTCTAGAACTTAGCTCCCAGAGCAGGGACGGGACCCCTCCTGTGCCCTGGGCTACACAAAGCAGACTTGAGCATCCCAAATCCTCCCTCCTGGACCCTGGGCCCTCCGTAATGCCACCTTCAATCCCATAGTTTTGTGGGGCCACACCTCTGTGATTTCTGGTTCCAAACAATAGAAACCAGCTCTAATTTCAACAAAAAAGAGGATTCATTAGAAGCCTATCTAGTGTGACTCAGGGTCTTTGGGAGGGTCAGAGAACCAGGCCCAAAGGCCACACATAACCAGAAGCAATGCCCCAAATCACATGCCAGACGTGGCTTGGTGCAGAGACCTCTACCACTGGCCATGGCGCCAGGCTCCTCATCTCACAGGACACTGGACCACGGACTGCACCCCTTGTCACTGTGGGACTAGAAAGTCAGTGACAATGACCAGCCAGCATCTGTGCTGGGAGGTACAGAGAGCAGCCTGCTAGAAAGGAAGGAGACAGCCTAGTGACAATAGTCACTGCAGGATCTCCAGTTTCTCCATATCACACCCCAAATGGCATCCCAAGTGACTAGATGTCACCTGGACTCCAGGCTCCCACATAGTCTTCTCCTTTGATTCTCAGGACAGTCGTTGTGCTGTCCCCATCACTCCCCAGGCTCCTGTGACACACCTGGCATCCACATTAGGAGGGTGTGAGGCTTGCTGCTTGGGGACTGCTGGGCAGTTCTTGGGCTCTGCCTCTGGACCTGCCATTCTAGTGGCCCTTCCTGTGTCCACCACTGCTGACCTGTGAGGCCCTTCTCTCCACGTGGCCCGGTGGCCTAGGAACACAGCCTGGGAACATGGGGACTCTTGGGGCAGAACAGGTTCCACACTAGATTCAGTGGGGGTGGAGGAGCCAAGCTGTCAGCCAGTTCCTGGAAACTAGTCTCTGAGGAGGGGGTGAGTCAGAGGGTGAGGCCGGAGAGGAGCCCGGCCAGCTGCGCAATTCCGTCTATACCCACCTCTGTGGTGGCTGCAGAGGGGACCTTTGCTGAGAAAACCGTGGCTCCTTTCCCCAGCTCTCTCCCTCCTTCAATCCTCCTGCATTGACTCACTCAGTCATTTGGTAATTTACCTGCTGTGTGCACAGGGCACTGGAGAGCCCCCAGAAAAGCCAACCAAGGTCTCTGCCCTCAGGGTGGGTGAAGGTGCTGGAGAGAAATGAATGAGGTCTGCAGAGGAGGGATGCTTCACTTTGTTCTGTGATGCCTGGAGCCACCTTGGGACTCCACAGATGGTTCTCATCAGATGTGGCCTCTGGATCTTGGACTTGCAGAACCAAGGGCTAAATAAACCTCTTTTCTTTATAAATTACCCAGCCTGTGGTATCAATTATAGCAACGGAAAGTTGGTTAGACTGGAAGGAGGGCTCCAAATGGGGCGGCAGCAGGAAGAGGCACGCAGGTTCAATGAAGGCTGGGCTGTTCTGGAAACATCCTCGAGGGACACAGGGAGGCTTGTGCATGTGATTGGAGAAGCAGCCAGGAACCAACAAATGGGGGACCAGGGCTGCTGGGGAGAACTTGGATGTTTCTTGGGGAAGGGTCTGGAGATGAGGCGTGACATGGGGGTCTCAGGTTTTGGAAGTGGGGGACAATTTTGAAGTGTTAGTATGTGTGCCTCTTCACCCTCAGCTTCCCGTGCCTGTCACCCCCGGAGGGGGGGGGGCGAAGGTCTGGAATATCCCTGTGCACATGGTTTTTCTTTTCTTTATATTTATTTTTTAGTTGTAGTTGTACATAATATCTTTGTTTTATTTACTGCCAAAGCAGTTGATCCTGACCCATGAAGAAGTCCTATGTACCCAGTCACAGGACAGGAAGTACATCTGGAGTTTCAATGCATGCTTTTGAAATGCACAGCAGATCAATCACAATAAAAGAAAAAGTATTTGGGTTGGAAGAATCCCGGTCTTTGAGTATCAAAAGAGCTCTGGGGGAGCCCCCAGGACCAGCAGCCCCAGCCCAGTCTCCCCTGATGCTTTGGCACTACCTGGGGATTGGATCAGAAGTTGAATGGACTGAGATGAGGGATAAGGATTTAATCTCAATTAAATTGAATAAAAGATAAAGCTTTGCTTTGAGAAAATAAGCCGAGTGTGTGTGTGTGCTACATACCTTGCCCGTCAGTCAGGGTTATTTTGGGAACAGCATCAGCTAAGCTCTACCCTACATCCCAATAAACATTTAAAAATGAGC